TTGTCTATAAATAATCAGATGTAATTCACTTTTATTTTAAGCTTTTAATTAATGGAAATTCCTAAATTCATCGTTCTCTTCTTCTCCATTTCATCAGTTTCTGCAATTGCTTCATTTTTTATCTTTAATTGATGAATTTGACAAGAAATGTGGAGCTTGTGAAAGAAAGCATGGAGAAGCACTGTGTCACAATAGCTGATATATGGCCAAGCGGCAAGCGGTATGACTCCAAAGACTGCAGTGGTTTTCCTCTCTTTTGTTTATTATATCCTTGATTATATCGATGATCTACTAATCGCGATGATGATAGGATTGCTAATTTGAAGGATCAAATTGATATAATATATTTGGACTTGACGGATTTGAAGAACGGCGTAAAAGAACTTACAATCCATCAGGAACTTGTAGAATACTCTACGCAACTTATTAATGTAATATATGAGGTTGAAAACATTATTAGCTCATTTTCCCTGTGTCGTATATCACCCTCAGGCTTCTTCAAATCACTAAGAAGATTAGACCTATGATGATGCAACTCCAAGAACTGAAGAAGAATGATGTTGGAATGCTAAAGGATGCAGAATATCTAAGGCAACATATATCTTTGCCAGCTCAAATGCCTCAAACTGGAGAAGATTATCTATATGGATTTAAGGATGTGGAAATGGAAATGGAAATTATAGAAAGTCTACTTAAAGGACCTCCACAACTACAAGTAATTTCCATTACTGGCATGCTTGGACTTGGCAAGACAACATTAGCAAATAGGTTATATAACGATCCAATGATTAATCATCATTTTGACAAGAAGATCTCGTGTGTTGTCTCTCGAACTTACCGATCGAGAAATTTTTTAATTGACATTTTGATGTCAACATACATCTATAACAAAGAATACTTTCAGTATATGGAAGATGGAGCGTTGGTTGAACTGCTTAACCATTTTTTAAAGGGGATGAGATACATCATCTTCATGGATGATATACGGAAAGTAAATGTATGGAATGATATAAAAAGATTCCTTCCTGATGACGACAATGGAAGTAGAATATTATCCACCGGTCGAAACATGGGTGCGGTCATGATGGATTCATATGGTGGCAGCAACTATCCTATTTGTTTCCTGGTGGAGGATGAAGTTGGAATTTATTGCAATGGAAGGTGTTCAACAAAGAACCCTGCCCTCCAGAGTTGGTAGATGTCGGAAAGAAAATTGCAAGAAATTGTGGTAGATTACCAATTACTATCGTTATGATAGCTTCAGTGCTTAAGAATTTGGAGAAGAAAAGATCTTTATGGATGGAAGTTGCTGAAAATATAACTTCATACATCTCTAAAGAGACAAATGAGTACATGAGTGTGCTAGAACAGAGTTATAATGATTTGCCAATGTACTTGAAACCATGTTTTCTTTACTTTAGAGTATTTGAGAAAGGAAGGGAAATCCGAGTGCAGAAGTTGATAATGTTATGGCATGCTGAAGGATTTGTAGGGAAAGTAGAAGATAAGAGCTAATAGGATGTGGCACAAGAATACTTAATGGATCTAATTAATAGAAGCTTGTTACTAGTTGCTAAAAGAAAATTTAACGGTGGAATCAAATCTTGTACTATCCATGGTGCAATGCATAACATGTGCTTGAGACTCGCCAAAAAAGATAACTTTGTGAATGCGATCACAGAGTAAGCTCTCTATCTCTCTCTCTCACCCTATTTTTCTCTAGCGTTTTGTCAATATTTCTATTTTGCCCTGCTAATGCTGCTGACGAACTTATTGATCATGTCAAACATTGCTACTGCTGATGATGTGGTACATTGTGGTTCTTCAGTCGATTATCAGTATATGAGCAACACCTCCGCCTAAGCATTCACTCTCGCTCAATTCCTTCTTACTCGAGACCTTTCGGCCTACATATTCGCTCTTTGTTGGGGTATTTACTAGATCCATCAGCATTTATCTTTTCCAACTTGAATCATCTTAAGGTATTGGACTTGTCAACCACAAATTTGAGTTTGTATAATTTGTCAGGAAGTGAAGTGTTGGCTTTCTTAAGGTTCTTGGCAGTTTCATCTATTCCTTCATCAATAGGGATATTCAAGAACCTAGAATTTCTTTTCGTGGATAACAAAGAAGTAGTTGAAATACCATATATCCTTTCAAAAATGGAGAATTTGAGACGTGTGCATTTTAGTGGTGGTGCACAATTCAATGAATCTTGGCGTCAAGCAACTCATGGTGAGAGCTCTCATCATGAGAGCTATCATGATGACAGCTTCCAAAGTAACCTACAAAATCTTTCTTCTATTTTCATTTATGATGAAAATGACGACAAAATCTTGAGATCTTTTCCCAAACTTCGCATGCTGAAATGCAAATATGGGACTCATCAGAGAGCTGCTATCCCTATCCTGCTTTAAAGTACTTTAATCCGATTGAATCTCTTAATATATCATTCCGATCGAGTTATGAGTCAGATGAAATTAGTCCCAAATTGACCAGTTTACCCTTGACTCTTAAAAAGCTAATTCTCCATAACTTTGATTTATCTCGGACGCATATGAAGATAATTGCGGAGTTACCCAGCCTGGAGGTTCTCAAGTTACAAGATGATACAATTGAGGGAAAACAGTGGGATACAAATAAAGGTGAATTCAACGACTCAAATACTTGGGACTGGACGCGGTACAGATCGAACATTAGAACACCGATGGAACTCATTTTTCCTCGCTTGAAATACTAGTGTTGCGAAATTTGAAGCTGCTTCCTTCCAGTTTTGGGAAAATTTCAACTCTACAGAAGATTGAGGTACATGGCTAACAAATTCCATTGGACACTCTGCTATGAAAATGAAGGAAGAACAAGAATTGATGCGTTCATAGTCATTATCTCCAGCGTCTAGCTCTTATGGTAAGGTTGGTAAGTACAACAACATTTTTTACAACTGCATCTAAGAGTTCATTTTTAATTTACTTGTTGATTTCGAACTTTTTCTTTGCAGACTTGTGAAGCTAAAATGATGTTGGAACTTGGTTGTTGTGTGATAAGGATGTTTTTATTCGTTTATTTCGGGTCACAAGCATGAATAATTGTTGATAAATGGTTGGAATAGAGCTTAATTTGTGTAATTTGTGTTTGTAGGACAATAATGAAGATTGTGGTGGAGATTTGAGGAAAAATTGAGAAAATGGGTTAACTCAAGAGCGGACACGAGTTTAATCATAAATTGAGGA